AAAAACTCAAAATTCACATTTTATTTCAAGAGCAACAACACAAGAAATCGTGAACATTTTTACACCTTTGGAGTCTATAATGAAGGCTGTCCCAGAACATTAGTTTTAGGCCAAAGATACATAAGAATGCTATCAAAAAAAGAATCTGATTTGAATTATTTTCTTCCTAAACTGTAATAATGAATAATGTAACAAATTATTCTTGTTTTTCTGAAGCATTTAATTCATCATATTTTAAGAAATCCTTATTTAGATTTGCTTAATACACTACAGCAATGAAACTGCGTGCCTTCCTTCCTTCTGCATTACTCGACCTAGTCTTCTTCAACTTTTGATATGATACTATATTTCTATGTGAGTATAGTTAGCTCTAACTCTGATTGGAGTGTCTCAGCAATGTTGCAGTGCTAATATTTTATCTTCTCTGTGTCTGTAGTGTGTGTTTCAGTTCTGTGTGTCATCCCTACTAATACCACTAAGGTTGAGCATAAGGGTCCACTCTATCTGATTGGTCTGAGGTCTGATCAGAGCACGTCCAACATTTCTGCAATCCTTCTTTAGCACCCACTTACAGAGAAATATTCCATATGAAGTTGCATCTGGAGCCATCTGATCATCAGATTCAACCCCTTCAAAAGCAAAACACAACCTTTAAATCAGCTATCTGCTGATGAGCTACTGAAGAAAGGAGGGCATGGCAGCTCAAGCTTAAAGTAAATTCACTCCTTCCTTGCCACAATTTCACTTGCTTTCTTCCTTGGGAAATGTGAATTGGAACACTGAATACTAGACGAGCCCCAGTTACAAAAACAAGAAAGTGAAAATTGGAAGTGCCAATGCTGTCAGACTGGTACTGTCAAAAGCAATGTTGAAGATGCTGCAAATGCTGAAAAGCACATTCCCTATTGAGATCTGCTCAAGTCAGCAACACTCGGTTCGGTACCTAGGACACTTCCTCTAGTGAATTTATGTCAAAGTTTTATCCTCCACCATCTGGGTTTCTAATTGTATTTTCAAAGTAATTTTATTGCCCGTATTGCTATAACAAGCTTTTGTACAAACAAACATAATGAAACATGTCTCCATGGTGTATAACAAGCCTTATAAGTATTATTTATTAAGTTTTAAAATCTAGCTGAAAACACTCTTGGAATTCCATTAGAAAGATTGCCAGACTGCTATATTCAAAAGCGAAATCTTTGTACCTGTTTCACAGTTATGATTAGTTTTGGTGAAACCTCAGAAGACTGTATATAGCCACAGCTAATCAGAGGTTTAACCTCTCACATAAATCAACAGAACTGTCAACTGGTGAACTTTGGAGGATTGCATTCTTTGTTTCCATTTTTTTATGTTGCCTGAGCTACTTGTAGTGTACCATAGCTCACAGGAATAGATGCAGTTCAAGTATTGTCACTTTAATCACTGTTTAGGTACACGGAGGGAGCTCTAAATACTCTGCTCCTGAACGTTTGTCACTGTGCTGTAAAAAAAGGTAATCAAGGTTATAACCCCACCAGACGTTCAAGAAAAGCTATGGCTTCTTGATTTTTTTAAATGACATGGTGGGGGGAGAGGATTGAAAAACCTGGAAAAATGAACTGTGAAATATTTTGTTTCACTCTCCTTAAATTATTTGTAAACACACAGAGGACTTGCTGTTGGAAAGGATTTTTTTTAGTGGTGTACAACATAGGACACTTTCTGGTGAGTGTCCTGGTATTCATGCTAAGAAAGCACCCTAGAATTCTACTAAGCATCTCCTTAAAACATACTAGCAAAGCATTTGCATGAATACCTTTGCTTTCTGATTGTTTCAGATTCCTTTGAATCTGAACTCTCCTTTCAAGCTCAGTTAAGACCCTAGACCAGGGGTCCTCAAACTAAGGCTCGAGGGCTGGATACGGCCCTCCAAGGTCGTTTACCTGGCTCTTGTTCAGGGTCAACCTAAGTCTGAAACAACTTGAAAGCACACAACAACAGCAACAACAACAATCCTATCTTATCAGCCAAAAGCAGGCCCACACTTCCTATTGAAATACTAATAATTTTATATTTGTTACAACTGTTCTTCATTTTAATTATTATATTGTTTTAAAGTAGGTTTTTTTAACATATAAGATATGTGCAGTGCGCTTAGGAATTCATTCTTTTTTTTTTCAAATTATAATCCGGCCCTCCAACAGTTTGAGGGACTATGACCTGGTCCTCTGTTTAAAAAGTTTGAGAGCCCCTGCTCTAGACATTGTCCCCACCCTAACAATACAACTCAGGACAAAAAAATGAATTTGAAATAGCAACTCCAGGTCACTTTGGATCAATTTGAGAAGCCCATGTGCCTCTAATGTGACTGTCTTAGTGTTCAATGGGCTTCAAATAACCTCCCTTTCTCCAACATAAAACCCAAACTGGTGTGCTTGTACAGATACCACCTCCTGCTGGAAAACGGCAGCAAGCTGCCTCTCAGCAAGCTGCCTCTCACTGGAGACAAATTAGTCAAATGTCTACTTGTGTTTCTGTATTAGTTTCAAGTAATGAGATCATATAGATTAGCAGTGCCCTGATACAGAATCAGATAGAAGAGCTGGTGGTAAAACATTATTGATATAAACCCGCAACTGTAAATCCTGAAGTTTGATCTTGAATTGCATACTAAAAGTGAAACATTATCTTCTAAACTGTGCTTATTTACACAAAGACAGCACCTCTAAAAATAAGTGACATATGATTTGATAGCTTCAGCACATTCCAATTTCATAATCAAATTAATGCTGTGAAGAATTTAATGATTTGTGTTGATGGTTACATGGATCATAAGAAACACCAGCTATGAAAGCCTTCTTAAGTATCAAGAGCATATGCAAATAGAGCAAATAGTCTCAATTTTTGTTTAATGAGAAAAAAGCAAGTTTCTTGGTAGGGATTGGCTATAATTTTTTTATTTTTCATTCATCATGAATTCCCGCTAATAGTCTTCATCTTAATAAGAAAGCACCAGTACGTATAAATAAAAGCCTTTATAAATTCTGTGCTCTGGGCAGCAGACCAAGATAACACTTTTTTTACTGAATTGTACATTAAGTAAATTTTGTAGAAGCTTAAAGTGCTTTCTCTGTGGCCATTGGAAGAAGATTGGAAGGTGTCAGACATATGCACAACAATTAAGAATTTTTTTGTGTGTGTGTCAGGAGCGACTTGAGAAACTACAAGTTGCTTTTAGTGTGAGAGAATTGGCCGTCTCCATGCACGTTGATCAGGGGATGGCCAGATGATTAATGCTTTACCATCCTCGTGGAAGGCTTCTCTCATGTCCTACATGGGGAGCTGGAGCTGACAGATGGAGCTCATCTACACTCTCCACAGATTCGAACCTCCAACCTGCTGGTCTTCAGTCCTGCCAGCACAACAGTTTAACCCATTGTGCCACCGAGGGCTCCAATTAAAAAGTCAAAAAGAACTTTTAACACTATTAACACTTTTTTAAAAAAAAACTTATTTGTAATTGTTTACGCCATGGGATATTTTAGAACCTCAATGAGATAATGTAATGCAGAATATAAAAATCTGCAATGGCCAAAAAAAGTCAGATTGGTTCCACAATGCTCACATTCAGAAAACATATGTTCTCATCTTGTTTTCAGTAATCAGAATATAAATAAAGTGTTGTTGTTGTTGCTATTATTATTATTAATAATAATAATAATAATAATAATAATAATAATAGTTAAGTAACTGCATTCAATGGGCTGACAAGTCAACACCTGGTTAGGTGAAAATTTTTATGAATGGAAGTGAAAATATGGGAATGTCATTTGACAATGTACATCTGACAAATGCCATGAACTTTTAAGAAACTGGGAAGAAAGAGAGGAGACAGAAAGATCAGAAATAGGCTACCGTTGTTTAGGTGGATTATTATTACTAAGACAGATAACTGTAAACCTTGCAGATTACACCAACCCTTTCCAGGTTATATTAAACCTGTCTGAAGCAGAATGAAATTGGTGGATTTGCAACAATATCTTAAATTTCAGTAACCTTGTCAGTTTTCTTTATCCAACACTTCGTGGGTTTATTTTTTCTTCCTTTCTTTAACTGTTGTATCTTCACACATTATGCTTTATTTTGTCTTATCTGTAATATTTTACAGATATTATTAATTATATGATTGCGTGTGCAAAGCAACCAATGCTCCGTCCCCAGAAGCACAACACCCAGCACATGAGTTTGGGATGACAAAGGCCACAATTTATTTATTGTTTACAGCTGAAAATAGGGTTGGCAGACATGTGTGGGTCCTGGATTGCTATATTGGCCACCCTGAATCCTGGACTGACGACACCACAGAGGTGCCTCAAAATAGAATTTGGAGGGCACATCCAAGCTACAGATGGCCCAACCAAAAGGGAAGGGGGACATAGGACAGGTACTTGTTCAACACTGCTCTAGGTCCCTATTTTTACTACAATCTGAATCCTCCATTGAGAGAGAACAAGCCAAAACCAGATCCAGGGTCCATGCCAATCACCACAAAAGGAGACCCCCTCAAAAGATGGGGGGCACCTGCTACCAACCCTCAAACAGCCTTAACCAATGAGACAGCAGCAGCTGCAATCTCGCTGAGTTTTTCTCTGTTGATCAAGCTTTATGCTGATGAGTTAATTTTAATAAAAACTGAGCTGGACCCCCCTCCCCCCCAATGCTCGGTTTGCACCTATTATTTTTAAGGTAGCTATTATCATGTTATATAATGTGTCTAATAAATGTTTCTTCAAGTTTATGTTTATTTTTTCATTCTGTGATTATTAACTAATATTGCATTCTATGATGTTAGCCTTTTTAAAGGTTTAAAGGCTCTAAATAATTGGTTTCAATATCCCTAAATAAATTAAAGACACATTTTCTAGAGTCACCCCCAACTACTTGCTTTGGTCTAAAATTTACCCTAGCTATTTTTATTTAAGTATATGAATTTATAGATGAAAGAAACAATCACATACCTGTTCAGGTCCCACACTTTGCTAGTTTTATCCATAGATGCAGAAGCCACAAAATTTCCACATGAATGCCAGGAACAATCCCATGCTGCATAGCTGTGCCCCTCTAAAGTCAATACACATCCTCCCTTTGCAAAGTCCCAGATCCGGACTGTTGTATCTCCACTTGAAGTGACAAGTTTTGTCCCACTGTTAAAAATAAAAATTCTGAATTACAAATTTGCATATTCTAAGTTTAAACCTAGCAGACCAAATATGAATCTCTATAGTTTCTATCTTTTTGCAGCATTGTAAACATTTATATGTTTTAAACTCTCATTTGACTACTTAAGAGAAGCTATTCTATCACAAACCTCCTTGAAAATGCAACAAAAATAGTGTTAAAATAGTATTTTTCTTATTTCTGATACTTTAATAATCACAAAATGTTTTTTATTGAAGTATTTATAAAAAAAATACTTCTACTTTTTATCAATTACCTTAAATCATCTTCACAAATCCAAACTTTTTATAAAAAGTTCAAATTAACATCTCCAACGTTTTCATAACCCATAAAGGGATACCTGGAAAACCAAGCCATTATCTCACAAGGCCTCCAGTTTTTGAGTGGACAACAATTTTTTTTCTGGTAAAGATTTCAGAAAACTACAAGAAAGGAGATTCCATCTGAACATGAGGAAGAACTTCCTGACTGTGAGAGCCGTTCAGTAGTGGAACTCTCTGCCCCGGAGTGTGGTGGAGGCTCCTTCTTTGGAAGCTTTTAAACAGAGGCTGGGCGGCCATCTGTCAGGGGTGCTTTGAATGCAATATTCTTGCTTCTTGGCAGGGGGTTGGACTGGATGGCCCATGAGGTCTCTTCCAACTCTATGATTCTATGATTCAACTCCCACAATTCCTTACAGCCAGTAAGTTGGCTGGGATTTCTGGGAGTTGAAGTCCAAAACACCAGGAGGGCCGAAATTTGTCCATGGCTGCTCTAGTGTGATGAGGTCCAATGCCTCTGATTATCAGCTACCTCCAATTAATAATTTTGTTAAGAGTATTTTCAAGATACTGACATACATTCTTTTTCTGTCTTTGGGAATTTGAATATTGTTTCCCTTGATATTGCATTTATAAACCCTCCTGGGAAGTATACACAAACCCTAGTGATTCTAATTCAGATCAGAAAATACTCCCCAGATTAATTTGCTCAGTACTAGATTTGTTTATCTACCAGGAAGAGGGTTAAATGAGTTTAACAAATCTGGGGGTGAGATGGAGCAGAGCTAAACAACGCAAGAATACATTTTGCAAATGCATTTGTTCCCCTCAAAGATTACTCCTTGTGATTTTTCAGTGGGCACTTGAAAGACATGAAACAAAGCAAATAGATTGTTTGTGAAATGCTTCTCTCCCAATGTTTGCATTTTCAAGAATTCATTTTGAAATAAAAAATTGCTTTCTTGCACTAGAAGTGGCATTTCTGATGAAAGAAAAAAATAATGCAAGAACAAAAAGCCTTTACGTTTTCTATTCTCATCTCGAGACAGAAAAAAAAGCTATAGCCTCTAGTTAAAGTTGTGTTCAGCCAGGGATATATATTCACAGTGGAAAGCACCGAGATGACAATATTAAGCTTCATATGGAACATCCTCTACATTACGCTTAGAGGAATTTAATCGAAAGCTCTGTATCACATTCCCACATTATACAAATTTTTTCTAAATTTCCACTGATGATCGAAGCAATTTCCTCTGCCTACTCTTGCAACAAGCTTCCATTCACAACAAATCAAACACAGATGGCAAATTATGATGGCTTACTCATTGTGGCTAAAAGGACATCTTTCTAAAGGGAAAGGAAAGGGGAATACAAACCCATTGACAGGAGAGATCATACATAGTGTTCTAAAGATCTCTACCTATCTGTAGAACGATTTAGTTTTGTTTCAATGTTTCGGTCACCAACTCATTTCTCACTCACTTGCATGACTTTCAATCTTCTACTACTTTTTAAAAACCAATTTTTAAAAAGAGCAACCAAAGTATTTGTTCTTTGTTTCATAGCATCCTACTACCAGTATTTCAGGGCTAAAACTTAAGTCCAGTTGAGAAGGTTCTTGTGAAAAGTCAACTAAGTTCAGGGGTGGTGGTCATGGAAATGGACATAAGAAGGTTTTGGGAAAAAGCTTCCTGCACCGGTAATAAAATCTTGATAAAACATTTCTAGCAGTTATGAAAGTATCTATAATTGCTCTGTCTATTCCTGCTCCTTGCCTGTCACGTGGTTTTTCCTAAAACACACATGGCACATTGGTGGGGACAAGGGAGAGGGTCTTCTCCATGGTGACCCCCAACTCTGGAACTCACTCCCCAAGAATATCAGACAAGTCCCCACATTGGCAGTCTTTAGGAGGAGCCTGAAAACGTGGCTGTTCCAGTGTGCCTTCCCTGAATAAAGGCACAATCCCTTGCAAAATACCCTGAAAAGCACTTTAATTACCCGGGTTGTTCTCTACTCTTGGTTTAAACCCTCCTACTAGATAAATCCTTTGTTCATGTCCAGCATTTACTTTTAAAGTGTTAACTACTACATCTGGCCCAGTCATAGGTTTTTAAATTCTTCTGTGTTATTGTCCATGTCTGAGTTATACTAATTGTATTGTTTATTTTGCTTATTTCTTGTTGTTCTTACTATTGTTTGTGGTTTTATCATGTGTTGTTGGGCTTGGCCTCATGTAAGCCACTCCGAGTCCCTTGGGGAGATGGTGGTGGGGTATAAATAAAGTATTATTATTATTATTATTATTATTATTATTATTACTACTACTACTACTACTAGCCGTTCCCTGCCACGCGTTGCTGTGGCCCACATAGTGGTTCTGTGTGGGAATTTTGGCCCAATTCTATCGTAGGTGGGGTTCAGAATGTTCTGTGATTGTAGGTGAACTATAAATCCCAGCAACTACAACTCCGAAATGTCAAGATTCTATTTTCCCCAAATTCCACCACTGTTCACATTTGGGCATATTGAGTATTCGTGTAGAGTTTGGTCCAGTTCCATCATTGTTTGCGTCCACAGTGATCTCTGAATGTAGGTGAACTACAACTCCAAAACCAAAGGACACTGCCCACCAAACCCTTCCAGTATTTTCTGTTGGTCATGGGAGAACTGTGAGCCAAGTTTGGTTCAATTCCATCGTTGGTGGGGTTCAAAGTGTTCTTTGATTGTAGTTGAACTATAAATCCCAGCAACTACAACTTCCAAATGACAAAATCATTTTTTTTAGTGGAGGACATAAATTGGGTTGTTAGGTGTCTTATATCCAAATTTGGTGTCAATTCCCCTAGTGGTTTTTGAGTTCTGTGAATATCACAAACGAACATTACATTTTTATTTATATAGATTGGGAAAGTTTTTATCAGTAAAATTAGTCCCTACATTACACTATATAACATGATTTCTGTTCCTGGGTTATAGATGTCATTTCCTAATTTCTCTTTTATTCTTTTTCTCATAGTGAAAATAAAGGAAATATCAGCATGCCAGCTTTATCTAAATATCCTAAATGAAACATCAGCACACATTGCAAATGTCCAGAATGTATTATTATTATGTATACTGTTTGGGGCTTCTGGCAGAAAATTCATACATTTATTGAGTAGAAGGCAACATTTCCTCTATGCTGGATACTGCTAGCTGCACAAGATAAACTTTGTTTAATTTTTTTGCACAGAAAAAATTGCTAACTACAGCATTTTCCAGACTGTTTCCTGTATCTGTGCAAAAAGTCTCCATTTGTGAATTTTGTATACAGTTTGGGGAAAAAATCCTACACAATTGTGGAAAACCTTCTTATAGTGGAAAGAAAATTGTTAAAATTATTCATTGCTATCTTTCAGAATGAAATACATGAAAAATTCCATCCCTAAAAAGAGATTTAATAGCTGTACATATTTTCTATCCTGGGACCCAACAAACAGACTAAGAAGGTAAGTGCCCCAAATATAGTTAGGACTGAAAACATTAAAGAAAAGAAAGGGATATGGCAACTTATAAAATATATTGTTCAATTAAATAAATTATACAGAATGAGGAGGACTTCCATTCTTTTCTTTTAATTGGCAGGGATAACAAACATTAGTTTGAGGAGTATAGCTGAGCAATAGCTTCCTATTCAGGACTTCTAAGTGGGAAATGTCATAACCACTAATTTGAACAGAAAGATGCACAATGGATAGTTAGTCTTTACTTTGCATAGTGAATGGTAAATAGACAAGACAGTTTTACAAAAGACTGTGGGTTTTTTCTTTAATGGGAAGTTGCTGCTGATAGCTCACTTGGGTTTCAATTAAGAACCATTCATCATGGTATGAATGCTACTTTCATGGCAGATCCCATTGTTCCAGCTTTGACGTGTTCATATCCACTTGATATGGATAACATATTATATGACTTAGCAACAGCGTACTGAAATACTGTGGGGCTGGCTTTGAAGACTGTTTGGAAACTTCAGTTGACAGTTTACAAGGAGCAAACAACTTTAGGGAAATAAAGAGTGTTCTAGCCATTGTAGGCCATTTTTAAGGGGGGGGGAATATAGCCCACAATGCCCAAAATGCATAGTGCTTTAGTTTGAGCACTGAACTATGACAGCCACAGTTTGAATTCCCATTCAGCCATGGAGACCTTCTGAGTTGTTGTTATTTATTAATAATATTGCCGGCTTCTCCTTGTGGATCGAGGTAGGATAAAACATGGTTAAAACAACACAAAGCACTATTTGTTGGAAAGAGCAACCTTCCCAAGGCTCCACTAACTGTTTACTAACTCTCTTTGATCATCTGGAGAGGCCCTGCTCTCGATCCCACCTGCATCACAGGCACGATTGGTGGGGACAAGAGAGAGGGCCTTTTCGGTGGTGGCCCCTCGACTCCGAAACTCACTCCCTAAGGACATCAGGCAGGTCCCAACTCTGGCAGTCTTTAGGAGGAGTTTGAAAATGTGGTTGTTCCAGTGTGCCTTCCCAGAATAATGTTCCCATAGCACTTTGTCCTCCAAAGCACTTTACATTTAGGTCTGCTTGTATGTTTTCCACAAACGCCACTTTCACCTTTTCGCCCATGCATTACTTCCAATTTTAACTTTACATTACTCTACCCACAGTTTTAATTGTGTGTTGTCTTATTGTTAATTGTTACATTTTT